ACAAAGCCGCGGATTGCATTTTCGCTAAGGAAAAAGTTACTGCAAATAACCTCAGGAACCCATCATTTCCAGATTGCAAGACATTTTTGGGACACCCTGCATATGTACGGGGTGGCCCATCCAAATATTAAATATATAATAAAAATATATGAAATAATATATAAAATAACAAAAATATATAATATCCAATATATATAAAATAATAAAAATATATAATATCCAAATATTATTTCGATGTGCTCAGCAAATTCTCCCCAATTTTCCTTCAACTTGTAAACAAAAGTGAATAATTTGGGAAAGGGAGATAAGTATACAAGTATATACATATGTTAGGAGAGTAGGTGAGAGAAGAAGATAAGTATAAAAACGCAACTAAATATGTTTAAAAATGTAGACAAGAAATATAAAATATGTACAACAATATATCTACCAAAAAGATTATTACCTGTCCAAAAACCAATCTGCATATATACACTTTCAAACATATTTATTTGCGCTATTATGCTTATGTCTCATTTCAATATAAAGATATGATGAATTGTGTGAGTAAGAAGTTACTATCTTAGTGATTGTTATACTAATTAAACTGCAGATCCTTATTGATCTTTACAAATTATCTTGGTCAATCAGAAAAAGAAAGCAGGAGTTAAATAAAACTGTACTTCTTCCCGTAATTCTTTTAATAAATTAAATGTAACATGATTCATTCACACGTCACATAATGACATTCTCGTAGAATCTCTTCAGTATTTCGTTCTGCTTCTTCCCATTTTCGTCACACACTCATGGAATCCTCTATTTAATAACTGCAAACGAGTACAGAAATAAATACTCACTCACTTTCTAATTGTTTCTTATCGATCAACCATTATCGCAGAAAGAATTTCACATATTATGATTTTTCTGAAAGTAATCGAAAGAGTTAGTGTTTTTGGGCATAGTGTTTCGCAAACCTAAAATCCCCCATCTAAACTAACAAGTGCAGAGATAAACACGATAAATCATACTCGCTTTCTAATTTGTTCTTATCGATCAACAATTATTGCCGAAAGAATTCCATATATTATGATTTTCTCTTTCTGAAAATAAGCGAGAGAGTTGGTGCTTTTGTGCACAGTGTTTTGCGAACATTAAATCCCGCATCTAAACTAGAGATAAATGCGCTTTCTAATTTAGTCTTATTTATTATCCCTTTGCACTCGAAGCTATTTTAACTGTAAATATAAAATCAGTTTTCTAACTTATAGTATTCTTATTTTATATGACAAAATGCATTTTACGTATATGAAATTGACTCTTCAGACCCACGCAACAGTTACACTCTTAACAATTTTTTAAATATAACCTTTGTTAATATCAAAATTATCCTTAAACGTGATGTAACAAATTTTAGCGGTGCCTCAGAGTCACCACTCGAGTGCAAAGGGTTAATAATCGCAGAAAGAATCCCATAAACCACGATTTCACGTTTCTAAAAATAATCGACGGAGCTATCGAACGTGCATCGAAAGCCGCCGTCTCTCGTAAAAATAAAATAATTGCGTAAAACAGCTTGACACACTTGCAGCTAAATGATAATTTATATTTTCCTTGGGATGCCCGCGTGCGATCGGCGGCTTGTAGGCTTGTAAAGGGGTGTACGTGTATAAAGCATCGCGATTGCGATGCAGCCGCGGTATTTCCAGCCGGAAATCACGTAATGCTTTAAGACTTTACAGAAGGAAATACCTAGTGTACGTATACGGAAAAGTATTACATAGAACCCGACAAGTCACGTAAAATCCAGCTTGTATCGAATCTCATCCATGATTGCGCAATACATCTTAACGTCCGGCGCACTAAAAATCAAACGGGGTTTTCTCCGCAACTGCCCGATCAATATTATATGTTGAATCTACGATGGGATAACGGGACGCGATATACAGTCAATGCCCCCCAATTTTTCTTCGGCTTGTAAACAAAAATGGACAGTTTGAGAAGAGGAGACGCGATTATTCGAACCTTGCACCTCGTTTTTATTATTGCTGACAACCGGCAACTATAAAAATGAGTCGCGAGGCTTGCATAATCGTACCGCCTTTTTCCAAATTGTCAACTTTTGTCTCCAAGCTGAGAGCCAATTAGGGAGAATTTACTGTATCTACAAGCGTGTCGACATAATACGTTCGCTAAATTAATTTGATTCGTATTGTTATTTAACGGGCACGTTAAGTCGATGAGAATTCTTTGCTGCGCTTTTTCAATATTTTTAATCCTTTGCTTACGATGCACGTGATAAAATATGAAAATCGAAATAAAACGACGACGATCATTTTCTGTAATTTATTCATTTCCAAAATGTTCCATGATCAACGTTTTATTACCCGTGACGAGAAACGTTGAAACATTGCTATTTTTTGCAATATTTTTAGAAGATTAAATTGTATGGTGAGAATCGAAATTTTTTTATTACAAGAAATGTCTGTAAAAAGTGTGAATACAAAGCCAGTAAATGTTGCTGAAAGCATCGTTATTAGAATCTTCGACCAATTATTCTAAAACGTGAATCTCTTTCACGAAAGATTAATATTAAATATCAGTGTAATATTATTCAAAAATGTTCTTTCTTAATACTTACATGTTTATCAGTCGTGCAACATAAGTATTAAGCAGGAACTAACAATGAGTTTCAACGTAAAATTATCAATTTATCCGAACGATATAAATAAATAATATATTATATTAATAATATAATATAATATAATAATATAATATAATAATATAATATAATAATATAATATAATAATATATTATATTATATAAATAAATAATATAATAAATCTTTCATATTTACTGTATTGCTGAAACAGTAAAGCAAAAGCAATACATATAAATCTTAAAAATATTAAGAATGGCTATGCATGTGTTATTTTTATGAATAACGTAAAACAGTCACTTTTACCGCTCCATAAATCTAGTGTTAGAAAGGACACTCTTTAAAGCTCTCAAAATGGCCAAGAAATTTGAAAGTGCCATTACTTGCATTAATCCAAACATTCAACGAAAGAAAATATAGAGAATTAATCAACCGAAAAGATTTACATTAACAATGAAATTTAAGTCGAATCTCCAAATATTTCAAGCGATCAAAACGATGAGTCTTGATGCTATTGAGTCGCCTATTAAAAATAAAAGAAAACAATTTACCCTGCTTTTCTGAAATGTCAATTTTCAAATTGATAATTTCTTAATCTATACGAGATAAATATGTATTTATAAAAACCTATACACCAGCTCCTGTCTCTAATATTTTTTTCTTCTCTACTTGCAGGCTCCATTCACGCGATTTCCCATTCGCGTAAAGCAAGTCCAGGTGGAACAGAAACTCGCGCAAATCGAGGGACGGCGCCGTTAATGTGAGTACCTAAAAACTCGTGTAATCCTCCATTAACTCGTCAAGTTTGCATCGTTCCGTCGTAAATTTACTTGCACTCGCTACTTTCGAAATGTACAATGTTTACTGGAACAATAACTGGCAGTAATTGGCAGCCCGGTTAAGGGTTGGAAGCAACCAGCTGACTCGTGTGCGGTGCGTCCAACGTATCGGTAAGTTTTAACGAGTCAGCCAGCTGGATTTCCAGTGCCGTTGCTCGGCGAGGGGCGGCGCGGGGTGCCGCAGGGTGCCGCGAGAAAAAAAAATGTGCCACCGGTAATTGTTTCGCTCTTTTCCCCGTTCGGGGACTAATGGCAGCGGGAAGGAGCGCGTGGCGCGTGATGTTTTACACGACACTGTTCGTTATGACACGTTCTTCCTCTCCATTCGACGCGTTTACGCGTGCCCGGGGCGAGGAATCGACAGTTTGACGGATCGATGACCCGAGCGCAACGACGATCGACCCGATCGCTCGCCGGGCATAGATTCCCGTGACAGGATTGCACGGAGGCGCAAAGGGTCCCATTATTTATGAGGGCGTAAATCAGGATCGAGCACCGATCGGCCGAATCGATCACCCGTCAACCGCCAACACCGCGTTCCCTTTGTCGAGGAAACACTGACGAGCCGCCTACGTATGACGCGTCCGCCTATCGCCATCATCATCATCATCATCATCATCATCATCATCGTCGTCGTCGTCCACATCCTCGTACTCATCCTGATCGTCGTCATCGTCCTGCCGCCGAGAAACGCGGTAGTCGATGTTCTTCGGCCTCCTAATACTCGTCAGATTTGATCAAGTATGGGATCCAGAGTCGCGAACGGATCCTGCAGCGGGGTGCATTGCGAACAGCTGATGCGAGTGGTATATAGGATGGAATGAACTCTATTAGAGATAGATTAATTAACCATTTAGTCGTGAATTTTAACGGTTTGTGCTCCGAAGCTGAGTTGGGAATTATTCGAATGTCTCGAATGAATATTTATCTAAGATAATTATATCCCAATGAATTCTTTCCAGACGAATATTTTATTCGAATAACGATTATTCATTTTATGTCACAATGTATTCCATCTATTTATTCGCATAATTCTTTTTTCGAATAAATTGTTCGAATAGAGATTGTAAAATTATTCGAATAATAATGCGAATAATTGTTGATTATTTTTGTTTTCATGGGATTTTTCAAGAATATATTTATACGACGTTTTATTTCACCCAAGAGCTAAAGAGCATCTTTAGATTAGGCTTGTCACAACGTAATGAAATGTTAAATAAATTAAGAAATCGCATAAATATCCGCTGTCAGTTATAACATTGGTCGATTCAATCGTGTCACTATATGTAACTTTCCTGCATACTCAAAATAGTTGAGAAATATTGCAATTGTTTTTTACATATACAGGGTGTCCCAAAATTATTGTACAAACGAGAAATGAGGGGTTTCCCTGAGATCATTTGAAGTAACTTTTTCCTTAGCGAAAATGCAATCCGCAGTTTTGTTTACGAGTTATTAATGAAAAACAATGGCCAATAAGAGATCAGCTGGCGCGAGACTGCCGAGCCAATGAGCGGAACTAGGCTTCGTGTGCGCATTGGTTGGACCGCCACGCGCTGGTCGAGCTTATCTTTCATTGGTCACTGTTTTTCAATAATAACTCGTAAACAAAACCGCGGATTGCATTTTCGCTTAGGAAAAAGTTTCTTCAAATGATCTCAGGAATCCCTTATTTCTCGAAAGTACCGTAATTTTGGGACACCCCGTACAGTCAATAACAATAATATTTGGACACCTTTTATAAGGCAATAAGTTTATTTAAATTAGTCCAAACAGCTTGATCCTCTTTCAGATATTAGACTAACTAGTTTAAGAGACAATGAACTCAACAACTTTTGCAAAAATTGAAAATTGATTATTTTTTAGCTATGCGAATCAATTGCAATTTTTGCAGAAATTGTTACGCTAACAAGATGAATGTACAATTTTTCCGACACATTAATTTATAGTAATAATCCGAAGTATTCAATGGAAGTAACGAACTGTGCAATCAGTATTAACATATTTATTAATAGAAATCTCGTTGAAGCTTTGGTTTACGATGTTAAAGAAACAAATAGCGCTTCATAAAGCCGGACAGCTGGAAAATAGGTTGCATCTGTTGCAAGTATAATTATCTGAACATTCAGAGATATCTGCATAAGCTTCCACAGCTTATTCTTGGCAACTCGAGCATCAAATCCAATCTTTATCATTGCTCTTTAAGCAAACAACAGATGCAGTTTCTTCAACGACAACATCCGGCGGAGTGGCTTGGTTTTGAATGACTTTCGAGCTCAGGATTTCTCTTAATACCTTTCCTGTCTCCTATGTTTCGTAACTCATTAATTTCGAGAAAAATCCCTAGATCGTGAATTCACGAAATAGGAACACGTAAAACACGTGTAACATTACGAAAATAATTTTCCGATTAAAAAAGAAAACACTCATAAAACCACACAAATCAATTTTAAGTAGAAAACGCTATCTAAATTCACATTTATTGTATCGTATCGAATTTTGAATAAAATAAAACATCAAATTCTGCAATAAATGTCAAAAATTCCATTAGCTAATCTGTTATTAATATCCAACGCTAATTTTATGTTTCGATAATAATGAATGCGAATCCAAAAATCGTTTCCCTCAGTTTTCACGTAAATCAATTGCAAAAATAAGTTATTAAGTTTGCAAATTTCAGAATTTTTTCCACGTTAACTGTAAAAGTTACGAGAATGATTCTTCTACAGAACGACTATACAGAGTTTCTCAAATAAATCGACATATTTTTCTGACATTATAAACATTTAAACATATTTAAACAATATCTAAAGAAAGGAGACACCTTTGACCCCCCCCCCCTAATTTCGTCCATACATTTTTCGACTTATTTCAAACGTTATCCAAGCAAGCCACGTAACAGCGGTACGCAAGATGTTAAAATTTGTTGAGCAGTGTTGTAAGCTGGCGACTCGGTGACATCTTACAACCCGTCGACGAAGTCGAACAACGCCACAGAATGCGCATAAAGGACTTACGCGTGAACTCCGTGCCACCATAAATCGCTGCAGAGCTAACCATTACAATTTAGCCGCGACACTCTCTCGCACGTGCATTATTAGCAACCCAAAATGTGAATGCGAACGCGCGGTTCTGGATGCAAACCATACCGCACGATGATGCTCCTCTTGTGCCGATTCACGACGAATCAATCTGGCACGGCATTTGCAAAGAATTAAATTATACGTGTCTTTGAATACACACTCCCGGCCATAAGTATGCGGACACCTAGCAAATAGTCGAAAGTTCGGATTGACAAATTTTGTGAAGCCTTCAAATCAAAACCTTCAAAAAATGGTTCAGATGTGGCACTTTTTTTAAGAACGTTCTCGCATCGCGCGTTCCGATGGGAACAAAAATGAAAGTTCCACTTATGATTGATCTTCGCAATTTTATTAACGTCACAATTTGTGCAGAAATATATTTATGTTAAAAATTATAAAATTGTTGTAGCATGTTCCAACAAGCTTCTTCGTTATCTCGCGCGTTCTTCGAACGACATGTTTCTCAACTGACGTTCCAAGATTGCTGCAATCTTGTCCGAGATGTTCTTTGACGATTTGTCTTGTTCCTTTGATCCGATTTTCAAAGAGCGTTCCAAGACAGTTCGACACTTGTTCCAAGGTATCTTTAGATTGTTTCTGGAAACTGTCCCAAGATGAATTCAAATCGCCAGCGATTGATTTTGTACGGGTTTGATGCGCGAAGCGGTGAGTTCTATTTGAAGTAAGTCGAACATGATCGGCTAAAGAACGAACTCCGTGTGCAGAACCGGTAGCGACCGGATACTGCCGAGGGTATAAATATGATAATAAGACCACGGATTTTATGCATCCATGAAAAAAGTGGATAAATGCAATTTAAAATAGTAAGAAGACTGAAATAATTGGAAAACCTCGATGTATTATTTTTAATCCGTTAAAAAGCGATTAAACGAAGAACGAGCTTGCTATTTAATTTCCATTTCATGCAACCGATGGGGACAATTTTTATCTCGCATAAAAATGCGCAGTATAATGATAATCGTCGAACTGAAATGTATAATTTAAAAAACAAAACTGTATTCTCAAAATTTGAAGACATTGACAACAGCTAATTCTAAGTATAATTGATTAATTAATTGACGGTAGTCGATGATATGTATTGCATTTGTGTTGCGCACACACCGCTGTCAAAAAGTAATTAGACATGTATCATAAAACATGAAATAAATAATTATTTCGTTGCAAATTTAAAGTGAACAAAATTTAAGTGAGGAACCTTACTTAAATTCATATCTATTATTGCATCATATTGAATTTTGACCAAAATAAAACGTCAAACTTTGCAATAAACGTCAGAAATTCAATTAGCTAATCTGTGATTAGTATCCAACGCTAATTTTATGTTTCGATAATAAACAATCCCGTTCCTATAGATTCTAATGTGCTAAATATGTATCCAAAAATCGTTTCCCTCAGTTTTCACGTAGATCAATTTCGAAGATTAAGTTAATTTCGAAGATAAGTTTGCAAATTCCAGAATTTTTTCCATGCTAAAGCAACAGAATAGACCCCAAAAATTTATTGGTTCTCATATACGAGGTGCTACAATTACAGATAGATAAATGCACAATATACACGTTATAACGCTACAGCATGCAATAAAAGAGTATGATTATGTGTAAAATAAACATCGGTCACCCTGGAACATTCTAAAAATACCTTTGAAAAGAGCTGTTCCTCTTTGATAAAAAAAGACAAGATAGATGGGAACTGTTTCACATAATAAACTGTTTACATGTTTTAGAAACAGTCACGAAATTTTAAAAATGAAATACTGTAAATTCTCCCTAATTGACGTTCAGATTGCGCACAAAAATAGAGGATTTGGGAAGATGAGA